CTAAACTACAAAGACAAGGGACTAAGGGCATCGCGCGGGATTACCCATCATGCACTCGATATTATGATATTTAGATATTTCGACAATTCTCATAATTTTTGCAAAAGGCTGTAACACCATGAATAAAATACAAACAGTAAAAAACTCCGTATCAAATTCATTTACATTGTAATCATTAATTCTTTTAAATTCATATACAATCAACTTGGATGGCTTTGACTTGCGACTGTAAAGATGCTGAAAAAAAAGTTAAAAAAGAAAACATTAAAAATAGCTATGMCTTGTCCTAGCATATAAAAACAGAAAAAAGAAGCAACATTGATTACCAAGCCTGGGAACGAAGTATTGCTATAAAAAATACCAGGAAACGAGGTATTACCATCAAAAATTACCTGGGAACGAAGTACTACCACAAAAAATGACCATGGGGACCAGGTACATAACATTGGCCGTGGGAACGAGGTTATAACAAAGACAACAACTACATACCCATCGACTTGTATACARTGGACACCACGTTCATGCAGCCACTGTCGTGTTTCAAGATTTTCATTGACTGAACCCCACACACTTAACACAAGACCTGCTTCCAAAACACTGTCAATCTTTTCTGGCGAGTTCAATAATTCGTTGGCAAAGGAATGCACTCCGTCCAAGGACTGTGCCTTTGCAAAGGCAACAGCTGTTTCGACATGTCGTGTGCGCATGTCCAAGTATGGCGTCCAGAATGTGGTGTTATCTTGAGTGATGAAATACACTGGGAACTCATTTTGCTTAAGCCGAGACCTTGCCACATAAAAAATAATTAAAAAAAAAATACACATAAAACACGGACAAAAACTAGCCAGATAAATTAAGTCATCATTGCGTTTTTACTTCCGTTAAGACACAATACTTACATGGCACAAATGTTAGCATCGAATGATGCAAGGATAACTTTTCTGCTTTTGGCCTTTTCAAAAACCACTTGAAGGATAGCATCAACAAACTCRTTTTCGTCTATGCACTCTGCATCAACTCCATCCCCACCCTAAAATCAAACAAGAGTAAATTAAATCAATGTTGTTTCATCCTTACAGTGATATATTCTCTATAGGGATGTATTCTCTAGGGAAGCATTCTCTCGGGGCGTATTCTCTCGGGGTGCATTCTCTCGGGGTGTATTCTCTCGGGGTGCATTCTCAAGGGGTGCATTCTCTAGGGGTGTATTCTATAGGGGTGTATTCTATAGGGGTGCATTTTCTCGGGGTGTATTCTGTAGGGGTGTATTCTGTAGGGGTGCATTCTCTAGGGGTGCATTCTCTAGGGGTGCATTCTATAGGGGTGTATTCTCTAGGGGTGCATTCTCTCGGGGTGTATTCTGTAGGGGTGTATTCTATAGGGGTGCATTCTCTAGGGGTGTATTCTCTAGGGGTGCATTCTCTAGGGGTGTATTCTCTAGGGGTACATTCTCAAGGGGTGCACTCTCTAGGGACGTATTCTCAAGGGGTGTATTATCTAGGGGTGCATTCTCTAGAGGTGCATTCTCTAGAGGTGTATTCTCTAAGGGTGTATTCTCTAGAGGTGTATTCTCTAAGGGTGTATTCTCAAGGGGTGTATTCTCTAGGGGTGCATTCTCTAGAGGTGCATTCT